TAGGGCTTGTTCTCCAGACCCTTGATCATTTTAGTCGCCAGTGATTCCAGCAATGAAAACCTTTGACAACAACAGACCTCACAACCTCTGAGGATGCCTGCCATAGATGTGGGAGAAACATAGGAGAGAATGCTTCTGGAAAATGGCCATACAGCCCGGAAAACTCACCGCAACCCAGATTCAATTGTTATTTCATTTGAATGATTCTCACACAGCTGTCCCAGCAAACCATCTCCATGGCTGCTTGCTATGGTTTCAAATTGTGCAAGAGTATAATGCGGAGCAATTAAGAGATAACTGAAATCAGCACCCTGAATAGCATCTGCATAATAAATGACATAATTAAATGCTGCTAAAAGCTTGAATAATACAAAAACTGTGCTAAATAAGCAACCAGAACTAAGCTCAAGCTGCCTCGCTTCCTCCCTTAATCACGTTCCTCATGTTGTGATAACCCACAACCAAAAAAATATTTTTGTTACTCCTTCATAATTCTCATTTTGCTATTGTTATGAATCATAATGTAAATATCTGATATGCAGGATGTATTTTCATTCATTCATGCTGGGGAAAGTGGAAGGCAAAAGGAAGAGGGACCGACCAAGGGCAAGATGGATGGATGGCATCCTTGAAGTGACTGGACTGACCTTGAAGGAGCTGGGGGTGGTGACGGCCGACAGGGAGCTTTGGCGTGGACTGGTCCATGAGGTCACGAAGAGTCGGAGACGACTGAACGAATGAACAACAACAAATTTTCATTCACTAGACCAAATTTGGCACAAACACCTGATACGTCCAAATTAGAATACTGGTGGGGTGGGGGGGGGGGGGTTGATTTAGTCATTTGGGAGTTGTAATTGCTGGGATTTATAGTTCACCTACAATCAAAGAGCATTCTGAACTCCACCAACGATGGGATTGAACTAAGCTTGGTACACAGAACTCCCTAACGAACAAAAAATAATTGAAGGGTTTGGTGGGCCTTGATTTTGGAGTTGTAGTTCACCTACATCCAGAGAGCACTGTGGACTCAGACAATGATGGATGTGGACCAAACTTAGCACGGAAACTAAATATGCCCAAATGTCAACCCTGGTGGAGTCTGGGGAAAGTAGACCTTGATATTTGGGAGTTGTAGTTGCTGGGATTTATAGTTCACCTACAATCAAAGAGCATTCCACTAATGATGGGATTGAATTTATTTATTATTTACTTATTTACTTTATTTGTATACCGCTCTTCTCAGCCCTTAGGCGACTCAGAGCGGTTTACAACAATTTAGGTATACACAATACAAAATCATTAATCATTTAAAAGCAATAGCATCACAAATCATTAGACATCAGCATCAATACATCACTACATCAATATGACAAATCCATCAGGTCTCATCAATGAAATCAGAATCCAAACTCGTTATCCATTATTCCGTGTTCCGATAGTCAGTCAATCAATCACACTGCTTAGTCGAATGCCTGTTCAAACAACCAGGTTTTTACTTTCCTCCGGAATGCCAGCAAGGAGGGGGTCAATCTGATATCTGCAGGAAGGGCGTTCCACAGCCGAGGGGCCACCACTGAGAAGGCCCTGTCTCTCGTCCCCGCCAGGCGTGCTTGTGAAGCCGGCGGGATTGAGAGCAGGGCCTCTCCAGACGATCTTAATGTCCTAACTGGTTCATAGGAGGAGACGCATTCGGACAGGTAGGTCGGGCCAGAACCGTTTAGGGCTTTATAGGCTAACGCTAGCACTTTGAATTGTGCCCGGTAGAAAATTGGCAGCCAGTGGAGCTGGCGCAGCAGTGGAGTGGTATGCTCCCTGAGTGCCGCTCCTGTTAGCATCCTGGCTGCCGGTCGTTGGACCATTTGAAGCTTCCGAGCAGTCTTCAGAGGCAACCCCACGTAGAGAGTGTTGCAGTAGTCTAAACGGGATGTGACTAGAGCATGGACTACCGTGGCCAAGTCAGACTTCCCAAGGTACGCACTAGTTTTAACTGTGCGAATGCTCCCCTGGTCACCGCTGAAACCTTGAACTAAGCTTGGCACACAGAACTCCTGTGAACAAAAAATACTGGAAGGGTTTGGTGGGCATTGACCTTGAGTTTTGGAGTTGTAGTTCACCTACATCCAGAGAGCACTGTGGACTCAAACAATGATGGATCTGGACCAAATTTGGCACGGATACTCAGTATGCCCAAATGTGAACACTGGTAGAATTTGGGGAAATTAGAGCTTGACATTTTGGAGTTGTAGTTGCTTGGATTTATAGTTCACCTACAATCAAAGAGCATTCTGAACCCCACCAATGATAGAATTGGGCCAAACATCCAACACAGAACCCCCATGCCTTGAAGGCACTCACTGGTGTGAACTTCCCTCCAGCCTTGCACACTCTTACACGCCCGCACATGCGCACCACACTGCAGTGTGTGGAGCACGCCTGCTCTCCCCTCCACACTTGGGGTCTCAAAATCAGCCCTCCCCTTGGCTGAGAGGCCAGCCAATCACAGCAGAGGAGGGCTTATGGTAGGATGATTCACTGTCTGTTTCCCAAAAGGAAGAGAAGTACAGGTATGCTGTCACGTGCTGGGCCTATAGCAGTTGGCTTTTGAACAGGACGTGCTCTTTGTGCCCTGAGGGAAGCCGGGGTGCCTCGAGTGAGAGGCCCTAAGGATTTTCCTATACAGAGTCGTTAGAATCTTGAAAGGTTTATCAAAGTCCTTTATTATTGCTTAAGTCCAACAAACTATCAAATACTTCATAGATCTTCAACCAATTAAACAAATGCTTCAAGGCTTTGAATCAACTGGTGGCTTTCTTAATCTTCTCCACAAGGGACAGGCAACTGGCTTTGTGAATTGTTTCTTTTCTTTAAGAGGAAAACCCTTTTTAACCCCTCCTTGGGCAATCTACTTTCTAAACGTTGCTGGTGTGGGCTCTACTCCCGGCTCCAAACTGCTTCTTGGGTCCTGAGTAGACCTACCAGTCAAGGCTTTGTAGATTCTCCAGCTGGAGTCCTTTGGAACTGTTTTCCCCTGGAATTTCCCCCGGATGCTGTGAGAAACGAAGCTTCTCTACATGTGGAGCTGATCCACGTCTTGTAGCTAAGCTTTCCAATGCCAGACTGACCTAAAATGGCTCCCTCTCCTCCCAGAGCCCTGGGGAAAGGGGTGGAACCAAACTTAACAATGATTGATGGGTCATTGGCCCTATAATTGCAAACTAAGGGAAGCCACCTTATTGCAAAATGCATGGAACTTTGGAATACATGCAAACACTCAAAGAAAGAAAAGGAAGTTGGAGCTTTTGGTACAGCTGTACCAGCACAACATTTATTTATTTATTTCGGTTTCTTCTACCCCGCCCTTCTCACCCCGAAGGGGACTCAGGGCGGCTTACAAAGGCACAATTTGATGCCAGCATCACATAACAGTAGTAAAACAAAATAACATCAATTAAACAGTTGAACAGTTAAACAACAATTCCTGCATTACAACCCTAAAACCAATAAAACCAATAAAACAATACAAACCCAATTACTCCTCATAGACGGTCAGCGTTCGCTATCTCATAGTCCAAATTCCAATTCCACATTGTCAGTCCTGTCAGTCCTAGTCGTTTGATTGTCCTTATCTAGTTGTCAGATTGCCCAAAGGCCTGGTCCCACAACCACGTCTTTACTTTCCTCCTGAAGGAGAGGAGGGATGTTGATGCCCTAATTTCTCCCGGGAGTGAGTTCCACAGGTGAGGGGCCACCACCGAGAAGGCCCTGCTCCTCGTCCCCACCAACCTCACTTGTGATAGCGGTGGGGTCGGGAGCAGGGCCTCCCCAGATGATCTCAGACGCCGGGGTGGGACGTAGAGGGACATACGTTCGGATAGATACACTGGACCGGAACTGTACAGGGTACACCTTGAATTGTGCTTGGAACTGAACCAGCAGCCAGTGGAGCTGACACAGCAGGCAGAGAGATCATCAGCCTTCACTGCCAAAAGGGGTGCCTAAGACCATCAGAAATATATGTTTTCTGATGGTCTTTGGTGACCCCTCTGAAGCCACCCCAGGGGTCCCGACCCCCAGATTGAGAAACGCTGCTGTAGAAGCATAGGCTTATTCTTAAACCCAGCTATTGCCAGGAAAACAGGGGTCCCTTTCACATCTATGATACTATATCTCTCTGTGTGTGAATCATATCTATCTCTATGGCTGGATGGCTCTTTGTCAGGAGGGCTTTGTTCCCTGTATCCCTTCTGTGGTCCAGATATCTCTGATGGAAGAAAAAAAAAAGCTTATTTGACAGCTGGAGATCAGCTTTTGTACTTTGACAAGATTGGTTTCCTCCCCTGTTGGGAAGCATCTGGCAATTGAAGCAACCTGCATCCTTGCTAAAGAGATGCCATTTGAGATTGGCAATGCAATGGGGAAATCTGATGAAACAACTGTGTGTCGCCTGCTTATTAAATAGGAACATAATTCTGAGGCTGAATGGCATTTGTGCACCCAAGCCTTCGACAACGCTAGACCTGTTGCATTCGTTAAACCCTTATACTAATTATGCATAAGCTTCCTGATGTTGCGGTGAGCATTATCTCTCTCCGTTCTTGTGGTGAATTCCCTTTCCTCCTTGTTTGCTTCATTAATATTCCCTTTGGTGACTCATAAGTTGTTTACTTAATTTTAATATATGCCAAAGAGGAGCACTGGGTTTTTGAAAAGCCAATTAAAAAGCCAACAAGAGCAGGTTTTACAATGTTTTTAACATGTTACATGTCTCCAGGATTGTTTAGGTTTGTATAATTATGAGTAATATTTGTGAGTTGTACTTAATTTATTGATTTTCACCTTAAGAACAGACAAACATCCCGAGCTCTGAGGATTACCTGGGAAGGAATCCCACTGGAGCATTGCAGCGCACTCAAATACCTGGGAGTCACTCTGGACCGTGCTCTTACCTACAAGAAGTACAGCCTGAATATCAAGCAAAAAGTGGGTGCTAGAAACAATATCATACAAAAGCTGACTGGCACAACCTGGGGATCACAACCAGACACAGTGAAGACATCTGCCCTTGCGCTGTGCTGCTCTGCTGCTGAGTATGCATGCCCAGTGTGGAACACATCTCACCACGCTAAAACAGTGGATGTGGCTCTTAATGAGACATGCCGTATTATCACGGGGTGTCTGCGCCCTACACCACTGAAGAAATTACACTGCTTAGCCGGTATTGCACCACTTGACATCTGCCGGAGAGTAGCAGCCAATAGTGAAAGGACCAAGGCAGCGACATCTCCAGCTCATCCCTTGTTTGGGTATCAGCCAGCATGTCAACGACTTAAATCACGAAATAGTTTTCTTAGATCTACAGAGACACTCGCTGGAACACCTCAGCAAGCGAGAGTCCAAAAGTGGCAGGCTCAAACCCAGCACCTCAATCCGTGGGTGATACCAGATGAGAGACTCCCCCCTGGGCACACAAAAGACTGGGCAACTTGGAAGGCACTGAACAGACTGCGCTCTGGCACCATGAGATGCAGAGCCAACCTGAAGAAGTGGGGCCACAAAGTGGAATCCACGACATGTGAGTGTGGAGAAGAGCAAACCACTGACCACCTGCTGCAATGCATCCTGAGCCCTGCCACATGCACAATGGAGGACCTTCTTGCGGCAACACCAGAGGCACTCCAAGGGGCCAGATACTGGTCAAAGGACATTTAATCAACTACCAAGTTTGCAAAATTTGTGCTTTTTTAATCTGTTTGTTTGTTTTGTTCTGTTATAAATGTAATACAATGGTATGGTTGCTGATGACACGATAAATAAATAAATATAGAAAAAATGTCTTTGCTTTTTTATGAATGTGGGTGAACTACAATTCCTGAAAACATGAGTCCATCACCCCAGACCCCTACTTGTATTCACAGTCATTGGTGGGGTTCAGAATGCTCCCTGGATACAGGAAAAATTACAAATCCCATGCAGGTAGGTAGTTCCCAAAACCCCTCCAGTCTGTCCTGTTGGTCACAAGGATTCTGTGTGCCAAGTTTGATCCAGATCTGTCATTGGCGAGGGTCACAGTGGTCTTTGGAAGTGAATGAATGCACTGCAAATCCCATCATCCATAATACATCCTCCCCCAAACCATGGCAGGAGGTAAAATTGGTCATGGGGGATCTGTGTGCCAATTTTGGTCCTGATCCGTCCTTGGTCACAGTAGTCTGTAGGAGCCAAACCAATTGAATGTACTGCAAATCCCATCATTCGTGGTACGTCCTCTCCCAAACTTCACCCGGATGTAAAGTGGGTCATGGGAGGGGGGATCTGTGTGCCAATTTTGGTCCTGACCCATCATTGGTGGGGGTCACAGTGGTCAGTGGTAGCCGATCCAATTGAAAGTACTGTAAATCCTATCATCCTTGGTCTGTATTACCCCAAACTTTACCAGGATGCAAAGTGGGCCATGGGAGGGGCGGAATCTGTGTGCCAATTCTGGTCCTGATCCGTCATTGATGGGGGGCACAGTGGTCTGTAGGAGCCAAACCAATTGAAACTACTGCAAATCCCATCATTAGTGGTAYGTCCTCTCCCAAACTTCACCAGGATGCAAAGTGGGTCATGGGAGGGGGGATCTGTGTGCCTATTTTGTCCTGATCCATCATTGCTGGGGGTCACAGTGGTCTGTAGGAGCCAAACCAATTGAAAATACTGTAAATCCCATCATCCTTGGTCTGTCTTCCCGCAAACTTCACCAGGGTGTAAAGTGGGTCATGGGAGGGGGGATCTGTGTGCCAGTTTTGGTCCTGATCCGTCATTGGTGGGGGTCACAGTGCTCTGTAGGATCCAAACCAATTGAATGTACTGCAAATCCCATCATTCGTGGTACATCCTCTCCCAAACTTCACCAGGATGCAAAGTGGGTGGTGGTGGTGGTGGTGGGGGGGGAGGGTCTGTGTGCCAAATTTGGTTCTGATCCTTCATTGGCGGGGGCCACAGTGGTTGTGGTATCCGAACCAATTGAAAGTACTATAAATCCTATCATCCTTGATCTGTCTTCCCCCAAACTTCACCAGGGTGTAAAGTGGGTCATGGGAGGGGGGGGGGATCTGTGTGCCAATTTTGGTCCTGACCCGTCATTGGTGGGGGTCACAATGGTCTGTGGGAGCCAAACCAATTGAAAGTACTGCAAATCCCATCATCTGTGGTACATTCTCTTCCAAAGTTCACCAGGATGCAAGTAAATCCCATCATCCTTGGTCCATCCTCCCGCAAACTTCACCACGATGTAAAGTTGGTCATGGGGGGGTGGGGTCTGTCATTTGAGGGGGGTCACAGTGGTCTGTGGAAGTGGCATCCAATTAGAAAGGAGAAGGAAACATCACCCGCTACATACATACAAACCCACATACATACAAACATTCACTTTTAATATATCTATATATAGCTGTAATTGATGTGTTTACTTCTGTTGTTTGCTATGTTCTTATATGTTGTTTATTGTCTCTTGTTGTAAGCCACTCCAAGTCCCTTCGAGGAGATGGGGTGGGATATAAATAGTTTTATTATTATTATTATTATTATTATTATTATTATTATTATTATTTTATTATATTTTTGCATTTTCCTCCCAAACAGTCTTTCGCAGTATGCCATCTAGGTTGCAACTTTATAGCTTCTGGAAACAAGTAACTGAAGAATAGTTTTATATGGATATGGATTCGCAAAGATGGCTTGTGACCAGAACTAGCCACGGAAATTATTTTTCTGCTTTCTTCTCAGCCTTTGCCAGATGACCCGCTATGGAGGCCCATGAAGACATTAACCAGACAACCCACACTTTGGGGAGCTCTAAAAGGAACTTGACCTATTCCCCTTATTACCAGCACTCGCTGCCCGTCGCTGCCAGCTACACCATCGCCTACCTGCTCATCTTCGTCTTCTGCATGCTTGGGAATGGCCTTGTTTGCGTCACCATTTTGAGAAACAGGCGGATGAGGACAGTCACCAACTTGTTCATTCTCAACCTGGCCATCAGTGATCTGCTGGTGGGCATCTTCTGTGTCCCCACGACACTCGTGGATAATTTGATCACAGGTAAGGCAAAGGGACAGTGACTGTTTGCATCCTCTTGGTTCTGGATGCAAGGGAAATGGAGGGTGGAAAAGGACACCATATATTCCATTCCTGATGGTTCACTACAGTGTTGTCCTCATACTGCACTTTCCCCCCACTTTATTGAAGGCCTAACTCCACTGTTCCGTCCCTTACGAGCTCCTTCCCCCTCAAATATTCCTTTTGTTCTGGTACGGCTGTACCAGGAGCTCCAAATTTATTTGCTTTGTATTGAGTGTTTGCTTGCAGTCCTAGGTTTCAGGGACTCTACAGATAGGTGCTTCCTTCGGTTGCAGTCATAGGGCAAGACACCTGTCCATCATCCAACCTCCCTTTTTTGGGTAAGGTGCTGGAGTGGGTGGTTGCCTCCCAGCTCCAGGGCTTTTTAGATGACATCAACTACCTAGATCAGTCACAGTCTGGTTTCAGGCCTGGTCACGGCACCGAGACAGCCTTGGTCGCCTTGGTGGATGACCTCCGTAGAGAGCTGGACAGGGGGAGTGTGACTGTTGGTTCTCTTGGACATCTCAGCGGCTTTCGATACCATCGATCATGGTATCCTTCTGGGACGACTCTCTGGGATGGGTCTCGGGGGCACGGTATTGTCGTGGCTCCAATCCTTCCTGGAGGGTCAATCCCAGATGGTGAAGCTGGGAGATGCCTGCTCGGACCCCTGGCCTTTGACCTGTGGGGTCCCGCAAGGCTCCATTCTGTCTCTCATGCTTTTTAACATCTACATGAAACCGCTGGGAGAGGTCATCCGGAGTTTTGGAGTTAGGTGCCATCTCTATGCAGATGACACACAACTCTACTACTCTTTTCCACCTAACTCCAAGGAGGCCTCTCGGGTGCTGGACGAGTGCCTGGCCGCTGTGTCTATCTGGATGAGGAGGAACAAGCTGAAGATCAATCCCGACAAGACAGAGGTCCTCCTGGTCGATCGTAAACCTGACCGGGGTATAGGGTGGCAACCTGTGCTGGACGGGGTTACACTCCCCCTGAAGCCACAGGTCCGCAGTTTGGGAGTCCTCTTGGATTCATCGCTTACGCTTGAGGCTCAGGCGTCGGCGGTGTCTGGGAGGGCTTTCGCACAATTGAGACTCGTGCGCCAACTGCGACCGTACCTCGCGAAGGCTGATCTGGCCGGGGTGGTCCATGCCTTGGTCACCTCCAGATTGGACTACTGCAATGCGCTCTACGTGGGGCTGCCCTTGAAAACGGCTCGGAAATTCCAACTGGTCCAACGGGCAGCGGCCAGGATGTTAACTGGGGCCCCTTACAGAGAGAGGTCAACCCTCCTGTTCAAGGAGCTCCACTGGCTGCCGTTTATTTTCCGAGCCCAATTTAAGGTGCAGGTGCTTACCTACAAAGCCCTGAACGGTTTGGGACCATCCTACCTACATGACCACATCTCCGTCTACGAACCCACGCCTTCACTTCGGTCATCTGGAGAGGCCCTGCTCGTGATCCCACCTGCGTCGCAAGCACGTTTGGTGGGGACACGAGACAGGGCCTTTTCTGTGGTGGCCCCCCAACTCTGGAACACCCTCCCCAAAGATCTTAGACAGGCCCCTACATTGGCAGTTTTCAGAAAGAACTTGAAGACCTGGCTGTTCCGATGTGCCTTCCCAGAATAGGAAATCTCCAATACCAAGTCCCAGAAGCACTTTATTAGAACTAAGATTGCCGCACACTGCACACTGCACTTGCCCTATAAGCCTTATATTCCACCTGTCACATCAGCACTTTTAATCCTGTACCCATTACTCTGGCCCGGCCCAGTTTTATTGTGTCTTAGTGTATTGTTTATTGCTTGTTGTTTATATTGCTTTAATTGTTTTTAATTTGCCTTAGGTTTTGTATTGTTGTATTGTGTGTTGAGGCCTTGGCCTTTGTAAGCTGCATCGAGTCCTTCGGGAGATGCTAGCGGGGTACAAATAACATTTAATAATAATAATCGTTAAGTTTTGGTCCCGCCCCTTGCTCAGGGCAATTGGGAAGGGAAGGGTGCCATTTTTAGTTAGTCTCAGCAAGGAAAGCTAATGTACAGGACGTGTGCAAGCTTCCCCTGTACAAAAGCTTCAACCTTAAGACTTTCCGGGGGGAAACAGTCTTAAGAGCATCCAAGACTTTCCAGGGGAGAACAGTCTTAAGAGTCTCCAAAGATTTCCAGGGAAACAGCCCTAAAGACCAAAGAACTCCAGCTGGAGAACATCTAAGCCTTTACTGGTAGGTCCACTCAGTGCTTGTGTATTTCAATGGCTTCTCTGTGTAGTCTGACGTGGTGGTTGTGAGAGTGGTCCAGCATTTCTGTGTTCTCAATAATATGCTGTGTCCAGGCTGGTTCCTCAGGTGCTCTGCTATGGCTGACTTCTCTGGTTGAAGTAGTCTGCAGTGCCTTTCATGTTCCTTGATTCGTGTTTGGGCAATGCTGCGTTTGGTGGTCCCTATGTAGACTTGTCCACAGCTGCATGGTACACGGTAGACTCCTGCAGAAGTGAGAGGATCCCTCTTGTTCTTTGCTGAACGTAGCGTTTGTTGGATTTTCTTGGTGGGTCTGTAGATAGTTTGTATGTTGTGTTTCCTCATTAGCTTCCCTATGCGGTCAGTGGTTCCCTTGATGTCTGTCAAGAACACTTTTCCTCTGGGTGGATCTTCATCTTGACTCTCGTGGCTTGTTCTTGGTCTTGCAGCTCTTCTGATGTCTGAGGTGGAGTCTCCATTGGCCTGGAGAGCCCAGTTTGGGTGGTTTGGTTCATCTTGGAGGAGGTGGGGTTCGCAGATTCTTTTTGCAGTATCTCCTTTATGGAGTCAGAAGGGACACCTGTGTATTAAATGGAGAGACAGAGCTAGCTGGTATTTATTTATTTATTTATTGTGTCAGAAGTGAATTGAGAATACGGTTAGAATGTATAGAAAAACCACAAAGTTAAAAACTTGGCATTACACTAAATATCCTTTGACCAGAAGCTGGCCACTTGTCACTGTAAGAAAGTCCTCCACTGTGCATGTGGCAGGGCTCAGACTACATTATACTAAGTGCTCTGTGGTTTGCTCTTCTCCGCACTCGCATGTCGTGGATTCCACTTTGTGGCCCCATTTCTTAAGGTTGGCTCTGCATCTCGTGGTGCCAGAGCGCAGTCTGTACCTTGTCTCCAAGTCTTCTGTGTGCCCAGAGGGGAGTCTTTCATCCGGTTTCAGCCATGGATTAAGGTTTTGAGTTTTAACCTGCCACTTTTGGACTCTTGCTTACTGAGGTGTTCCTGCGAGTATCTCTGTAGATCTTAGGAAGCTATTTCTTGATTTAAGGCAATTGCCTTCCTTGCTAATATCTGAACCAAGGATGGGCCGGAGATGCCAATACTTTGGTCCTTTCATTACAGGCTGTTACTTCCTGACAGATGTTCAATACCAGCTAAACAGTATAATTTCTTTAGCGGTGTTGGGTGCAGACATCCTGTGATAATGTGGTATGTCTCATTAAAAGCCATGTTGACTGTTTTAACATGGTGAGATATATTCCACACTGGGCATGTGTATTCAGTAGCAGAGTAGCAAAGCGCAAGGGCAGATGTCTTCACTGTATCTGGTTATGATCCCCAGGTTGTGACATGGGAGAAGCCTCCCAGCAGGAATGTAACATATCCAGGCATCCCCTGGGCAAAGTCTTTGTAGACAGCTGATTCTCTCACACCAGAAGCGACTTGCAGTGTGCAACCAAACAAACAAACTAGCTGGTAAAAGTAGTTTTTCTCTTTTTTACTGAACTGCACATCAAGGCTCTGATTGTTTTTTACTTGTCTCGTAGGATGGCCCTTCAGCAACAGCATCTGCAAGCTGAGTGGCTTGGCCCAAGGCATGTCTGTTTCATCATCCATCTTCACGCTGGTGGCAATCGCAGTGGATAGGTGAGAGGGAAAGAGCGTACAGGCACAACACACACAGTTTCATTCACTTACTGAAAACTGTTCCCACTGACATCTTGCTGTACACACAAGGGATCCCAATGGGGTCTGGTGGCCAGTCAACTCTCACTGAAATAAATGTGAAGACCTCACCTCCTCCCCAGGCCAGTCTTCTGCCAAAGGCATAACAACTGGGGTAGATCAATAGGTATTGCTTCTGCGGGAAGGTAATGGTGCTCCATGCAGTCATGCTGACCACATGACCTTGGAGGTGTCTGCAGACAACGCTGGCTCTTCAGCCTAGAAATGGAAAGGAGCCCCCCCCCCCCCCCCGAGTCAGACACAACTAGACTGAATGTCAGGGGGAAATCTTTACCTTTCACTGTATCCAACAGGTCAAGCTCTCCAATGGCTTAAGGGGAAGAAACAATGAAGAATTTGTTAGAAAATGGGAACTTGTCTTGGGGTATTTAAAAAAAGAAGACAAAAATAGATTATGAAAAAGCCACACAAGGAATTTGTTAATGTAGATATAAAGATAGTAGTTCCATATGACATGGTGTTGGAAGTCATGGGTGGGCGTTTACGGGTGGGAATGGGGTGGTGGTATTGGAGAAATAATATGTATATCATGATTGTTGAATTTTGAAGATTGTGTTTTTTTCTTCATATATCACAGTGTGTGTGTGTGTGTGTGTGTATGGTAAAGGTGCTTCCTTGAAATTAAGTCTAATCATGTCCGACTCTATGGGGTGGTGCTCATCTCCATTTCTAAGCCGAAGAGCCAGCATTGACCATAGACACCTCCAAGGTCATGTGGCCGGCATGACTGCATGGAGTACCATTACCTTACTGCCAGATCAGTACCTATTGATCTACTCACATTTTCATGTTTTCGAACTGATAGGTTGGCAAAAGCTGTGGCTAACTGTGGGAGCTCACCCTATCCCATGGATTCGAACCACCAACTTTCTGGTTAGCATATTTAGCAGCTCAGTGGTGGGTTGAACTGCTGAGCTGCTGAATATGCTAACCAGAAGGTTGGTGGTTCGAATATTTATTTACTTACTTACTTACTGTATTTATATACTGCCTTTCTCAGCCTTTCGGCGACTCATGAACATTATATATATGAATCATAGAATTGGAAGAGACTGCATGGGTCATCCAGTCCAACCCCCTGCCAAAATGCAGGAAAATCACATTCAAAACACCCCCAACAGAAAGCCACCCAGCTTCTGTTTAAAAGCCACCAAAGAAGGAGTCGCCACCACACTCCGGGGCAGAGAGTTCCACTGCTAAACAGATCTCACAGTTAGAACGTTCGTATGTTCTTCCCTGTAGTTTGAAGCCATGGTCCTGTATCCTAGTTTGCTAGTGCGCAAACATACACACACCTTAAAAAACACTTAAGTGTGATTATGTTTTCTATTATATTGTGATAGTGGTATTACAGTAGCTGCAATATGGAATTAATGAAGTATACGTATTGATAGAATTGTCCCATGTTAATACTATATTATATTACTATTTTGGATACATTTTAAAAGACAGCCTATCTTCCTTAGTCACTACAGGATATGATCTGAATAGTTTTGTTTGGAGACCCAAAGGTTGATGACCACTCAGAAAATAAACAATGCAAAAGAACTCAAGGAAGGAACTCCAGCCTGAGATCCTGTTAGCAATCAGAATAGAGAAAATGTGGTTGGAGCAGTGATCCAAAACTTTGGTCTTCCAGTTCCTTGGGACTTCGACTCCCAGAAACTCCATCCAGTTTGACCAACTGTCAAGGTTTCTGGCAGCTGAAATCCTAAATTCCTGGAAGGTCAAAGATTGGGAACCATTGAATGAGAAGGACAATGAGTCTGATGTGCCTAGTATAAAATAGCCTTGCCAATTTTATAATTGTCTTATCTTTCTCTGTCCTTTCCCCTTATTCCCAAACTCTAGGTTCCGCTGCATTGTCCATCCATTTAAACCCAAGCTCACCTTCTTGCAGGCACTCAATGTCATTGGCATCATTTGGATCCTGGCAATTACCATCATGTGTCCCTCTGCTGTCATGCTCACTGTGGCACAGCAAGAGGGTAGCTACTTGGTCTGTGGTGACAACCAGAGCCTGGTGTACCCCTTGTATTTCTGCTATGAGGCCTGGCCAGAGAGTGAAATGCACACTGTCTACACCACTGTGCTTTTTGTCCACATCTATGTGGCCCCGTTGAGCTTCATAATCTTCATGTATGGCAGGATTGGATTTAAACTCTACATGTCCTCTGGTCCAGTAAGCCAGCACCACGTGGTAAGCGAAACTCAGCGCAAGACAGTAGTTTCCAAGCGGAAGCTGAAGGTCATTAAAATGCTTGTCCTTGTGACACTGCTGTTCATGCTCTCCTGGTTGCCCTTGTGGACACTCATGCTGTTCTCAGACTATACAAACTTGGATGAGGAGGACATCAACCTTTTAGCTCGCCATGGATTCCCTTTTGCGCACTGGCTAGCCTTCTCTAACAGTAGCGTCAACCCCATCATCTATGGTTACTTCAACGAGAACTTTAAGAAGGGCTTCCAGGCAGCTTTCAAACTTCAGAACTGCTCCAGAGAAATGGTTCCTCAAGAAGTATATGCTGAGAAGACAACTGTCACTACCAATGGCTTTGGTGCCAGGAATAAAATCCTCACCAGTGGAGAGTCTTCTGATTCAATCTGCTTGAAGAATTTACATCCCAAAGCTCCTTGTGGTCCATCGACTGGAGATGTTTAGAGAGAAGGACTATATGTGATATCGAACCCTTGAACTAAGTCTGCAAAGCTTTGGGCATATTATTATTATTATTATTATTATTTTACTGACACAAAAGCACAGTATGTCACAGCAAATGAGATCTATATGCTGGATTTCGTATCACAAAATCACAAGTCGAACACTTCCCAAGCGTCTAGGACTGTGTGATGTATTTTTGAATGATGCGCGCAGATCCAAGTAAGGTGGCCTTTTGGAGTTGACAGATTGTGATTTTGTCAATGTTTATTGTTTCCAAATGCTGGCTGAGATCTTTTGGCACGGTGCCCAGTGCACTAATGATGACAAAGCTATTATTATTATTATTATTATTATTATTATTATTATTATTATTATTATTGGTTTATACCAGAGCCTTTGCAGTTCGATTCTGAGGTCTTGATAGCAGCTGAGTTTTTCCTCAATGCAACTGTCACCTGGTATGGTGACATCAATAATCCAAACTTTTTTCTTTTTCACAATCGTGATGTCTGGTATTGTGTTCCAAAACTTTGTCAGTCTGGATTCGAAAGTCCCACAGTATTTTTGCATGTTCATTTCATGTTCATCATCATCATCATCATCATCAGAAACACCACAAGATGAGTCCACAGCAGACACTCTGCTGGCTGTTGAATTGGATCACACGTCAGACACTATCAAGTGTCTAGAACTGTGTGATGTATCGGCGAATAATGCACACAGATCCCAGTAAGGTGGCCTTCTGCAGCTGGCAGATGGTAATCTTGTCAGCGTTGATTGTGTTTAAGTGCAGGCCAAGGTCTTTAGGCACTGCACCCAGTGTGCCGATCACCACGGGGACCACCTTGACTGGCTTGTGCCAGAGTCTTTGCAGTTCGATCTTTAAATCTTCATATCGTGTCAGCTTTTCCAGTTGTTTCTCTTCAATTCTGCTGTCACCTGGCATTCTTTGTTTTTTAACATGATTGTGAGGTCAGGAGTTGTTGTTGTTCATTCGTTCAGTCGTCTCTGACTCTTCGTGACCTCATGGACCAGCCCACGCCAGAGCTCCCTGTTGGCTGTCACCACTCCCAGCTCCTTCAAGGTCAGTCCAGTCACTTCAAGGATGCCAGGAGTATTGTGCTCCAAAACTCTGTCTGTCTGAATCCGGAAGTCCCAGAGTAGCTTGATGTGTACATTTTCTGTAACCATTTTCTGGCTTGTGATCCCACCAGTTCTTTGTCGCAGGCAGATGGTATTTGTGGCACAAGTTCCAGTGAATCATCTGAGCAATGGTGTTGTGCCTCTGCTTGTAGTCTGTCTGTGTGATCTTCTTGCAGCAGCTCAGGATGTGATCTATTGTTTCATCTGCTTCCTTTCAGAGCCTACATTTGGGATCTGTCCTTGAGTATMAMTATTATTATTATTATTATTATTATTATTATTATTATTATTATTTTGGACATTTGTATCCTGTCCTATCACGACCTCTGCAYAGGGACTCAGGGCGGCTAACAACTGGCACACCATGGCGCCCACAACCAAAAGCATAAATATACGATTTAAATAAAAATGGGATAAAACAGTATAAAACATTTAAACAGTCAACGGAAGGATTAGTCCGCAGAGATTAGCTAAGACCTCTTGTGGAGGGGATTTGGGAGCAAATGGGAGCATCAGGATCCGTAATTGGTGTAAGTTGCTTATATTGCCAGAGGGGGATTGGCCGAGTGGGTGAAGGTGGTGGTTAATGCCTCCCTTCGGGAAGGCAAAATTCCAGCCAGCTTAAAGCAAGCTGTGATAAAACCGCTGTTGAAGAAACCATCACTGGACCCCACTCAATTCGTCAACTATCGGCCTGTTTCCAATCTCCCCTTTTTGGGCAAATTCATGGAACGTGTGGTGGCCTCACAA